ATGGATTGATAAGCGGGTGAGAATTAATATAAGAGTGAAAGAATGTAGTAATAATGGATGAGAGATGGGATGTAATTGAGAAATGGAGAGAGAAAGGGAGGGGGGGTGAGAGAGAGAGAGAGAAGAATGGTAGGCTCCTGTCGTTTCTCTCCTCTCCCAGACCTAACCGCATTAAATGTGGTTAGGCATGGGAGGGGAGAGAAATAGAGGAACATCCCTATTCCTCTCTCACTCTCCCGCACATAACCACATTAAATGCGGTTAGGCACGGGAGAGGAGAGAGGGGATTTTCTTAAGTCTTTAAATTTGTTTAAAGGGGCCCACTTAATGAATTACATATGAGATAAACTGAAATGGTATAATTGAAATTTAAGGAAAAAATTTGGGGAGCCCACATATACAAGTATTGTATTTTGAAAGTTAATTTTTAAAGATAAATAAAAAAAGATAATTAGTGCAAGTATTGTATTTTGAAAGTTGATTTTAAAGATAAATAAAAAAAGATAATTGGGTTTAAAGATACAAAATCCCTTGCAATTAAAGAAACCTTTAAAAGTCATTTACTTTTTTCTTTTCTCTCTCGAAATAACCCTCAAGAATTCTAATCTTCTTCCGAAAAGTATTGATACACTCATTTCCCCTCTTTTCGCACTAAACCTAAGGAACATTGACTCTTGATGGAGTTTGGTTTACATCAAGTTCTTTAGCTCATGGAAATGATAATGAAAAATTAAATTTGTCGCCTAAGCTAACCTTGCTGATGAAGGGGTTTAGTGAAGTTTTCATACTTGAATTGATTCTTGATAAAGAAAAATCAATAGTAAAAGAGGGTAACCTTCAAACCCTATGAGTTTAGTCTTTGTTTGGTGTAATTCTTAATTTTTTAATTATATTTTTCTTTTAGTGAAAATTGAAATGAGAACATGGAAAATATGTTGAGAGGAAAAAGAAGAGGGTAATTTTGGAATATAAATAGATTATGATGTTTATTTTATCAGCAAAGGGTTTTGTAATGAAAAGATAACATTAAAGGCTTCCATAATAAGTGACTAAGCCTGAGGGGTTCATAATAATCACCCTAAAAAGATACAAAAGTTTCCTAGGACTATGGAACAAACTCCTTTGACCTAGTCTAATAGCACAATTATCTTTTAAGACAAGATTAAGCTCAATGCATAGAAGCAACAAGTCTTCAAGGAATGCATATCAATTTGCAACTAATCACATAACCTTCCAATCATCAAGACATAAAATTATATCAATGTTCTTCCCTATCATCAACAAATGAGACAGCGTCAATATTAAAGGGTCTGGACATAATCAACTTTCTAAAATGTTAAGAGGACCATCATACATCATAACCCAACCAAAGTCTTTGGTAGGCTCCATAGAAATAAATCATATTATCTTGAGAAAAGTATTCAGTAGTTCATATTATCATGACAACCCTTTCCAAGGGCCCGTTTGGTTTGTCCAAAAATTGGAGAAAACCCCGAAATAAAACCTGGCATGAAAAGAAATCTTACCCTCATTTACTGATGTTCATAAACAAAAATGAAAAAGAAAAGATAGGAAGAAAAGTTGCGCCGCCTCATCAAAAAAGAAATCTTATTTACCCCAAAAAGTCTGATTTTGGCATAAACCTGACTTTTAGGGACTAAAAGGAATCACATGATTTTCTACAGCTCCCTTTACCAATTTATTTCATAATAGACCCCAAACATGCTATATACTGATATTAGTCCCCCATTTAATAGAAATTTAAAATTAGTCCCTCAAATCTTTGTATATTTCACGGATTAGCACCTGAAATTTAAAAATATTACCTCAAATTTTAAACATTTTGAATTACTCCCTTAAAAGTGAATTCATATTTTGAAATGAGCCCTTCAAATCTTTAAATATTTTGCAAATTACTACCTCAAAATTAAAAGTAGATTTTCCGTTGCAAGCAATTTTTATATGGTGTGGGTATGTTCACCCCCAAATCATGTTAGCAAAGTTTTTGTTCTATTTGAGTGTTAAGCACATTATGGTGGCCACAATATTGGTTTCTTTTTTTTAAATTGAACCAAACTTGATGGAATCTATTCACAGATTAATTTTTTTTTAAGTTGAACCAAACTAAGAAAAATAATGAAAATTGCTTATACCCGTGACTTTTGATGATATGACAGTGAAGGAAATACAAAAAAGTAGAGGAAACATTTTCCCTCGTAATTATAACAACCAAGCAGGACCAGGGCGGCTGGGAGATATGCTAAGATAGTGATGTTTTCCCTAACAAAAATTAAGACTACACAGATTTGTAGCGGAGTTGATTTGCCCGAAACATAATTTTTCGAAGCAATAGATTATTATACTCCTAACCAAGACCCATTTTAGTTAAAATAATTAATAGGGAAAAATCTCTTTTAACCCAAAGTTTTACCCCCAATTATTTAAAAACCCATCCACTTTACTAAATACCAATAGACCCACTGTATCTCATCTCACTTATTTTTAAACCCAACATGTATAATACACCCATTTTTTGTACTGTATTTACCCAACTGACTAAAAATTCCTAAACTACCCCATCCCCAAATATAACTCATCCCCTTTCCTCTCTAATACTTGAAAGCCCCTAGATCATCGATTTGGAGCGACGACGACGGCTGCACGGGTTGTAGAGAAGGCGACCACGGCTGACGGCGGTGAGCGACGACGGACGGAGGCTGCACGGGTCTGAAAGCGGAGGACATTTGGAGCGATGACGGACGGCGGCTGCACGGGTCTGAAAGCGGGTAACACACGAATCTTCCCCTTTTCCTCTCTAATACTTGAAATTAAGCCCCTAGATCATCGATTTTCATCGCAAGTTCCTCGTATCACTGAGTGATTTTATTTTTCGATTGAGGTTGTAGAGAAGGCGACGGAGAGAGTTAGGGCTTGGATTAATCGGTGTTGTCTGTAGCGAGAGATATTGGAGTTGGGAGAGATTGAAAGGTTTTCCTTGCAAGTGTGATTAACCTCTTTTTTTTAAATTAATTTATGGAAATGTATGATTTCTTGACCTAATTATGTTGATGTTTGGTATAATTTAGGTCATCGTGGGACTGTGGATTGTTTCGTACATTGGAAGTTCGTTTAGTATCTTCACTCTTATTTACATCGGTGAGTTCTAATAATTTATCCATTGTTTGGCTGACCTAATTAAAGTTCCAAAAGAAAAACACTTTCTTTTGAAATTAAGCCCCTTGTTGTAGTTTTGATCACATGCAACTTGCACGTATAAATTGTTGAAAGGGCCCGAAAGATAAGAATGTACTTATATCACAGTAATCTCTCGAACATCTAAGGTTTAACACCTATGATAGCTTGGTGTTGAAATCATTATTTATAAAGGAATTCCAACCTATCGCTGGGATATTCATAATTATATTGTACTTTTTGAAATATTTGTCAATAGGTTGTCGAAGATGTCAAGCAGAAGGAGATCGAGGGGTTCTTCCCAATCGACGTCTAAGGCTACTAAGTAAGTAAATTATAATTTATCTGAAATTATTGTTATTTCCTAAATTTTAATTATTTCTTATTTTTTACTTGTAAATGAAATTGAATATGAAGATTTGGATCCCTAGATCCCTAGATACGTCTGATACATACGAATGATAAATAAGAGCATCAGGAGAAAACTCCAACATAACTAGTGTTCTGCGACAATAGTTGTTTTTTATCCTACATCAATGAAACAGTAGATAATAAGTTGGTAATAGAGGAATTAAACAATAGATATTAGCATGTGAAGAGTTGAATATATTGATAAAAGTTTACATGAGCAACTCCTTCATTATCAAATTTAGCTGTATAAAGATGCTTATTGTCCATGTTTTGACTTATTTCCAGTTAAGTCTCTTTTCATGCTAAATATACCCTATAATACCAATTTCCAGTTAAGTCTGACCATGCATTACCTTCTTCTTTTCTTAATGCAGTTCTTAATGCTTTATCACTTTGCTTTACAATCTCTTAATTTTTGCATTTATAAGGGCTATTCGTTTTGATTGATATATTCTTCTTTTTGTAGGAAAAATGTTGCAGAGTTAAGATTACCTTCAAATATTGGCGTATTTCGTGATTTGGTGAATAATCGTCTAAGGCCTTTGCTAAATAATAATCATTATGAAGCCCTCCGTCAAACCCATTTTTTCTACTTCATTAATCTACCTGCTATACCTAATGAACAAGTTGCAGTTGATTGCTTGCTTCATGCATTTAATCCAGAGCATAGCTCATTCAGGATTGGGGGAAAGGATATTGTGTTCAGTGTTCTAGATGTGCATGAAATAACCGGATTGCCGAAGACTGGAAATAGGGTTGTAATGGATGGTCGAGCGCCTAATACTATATATACTGCACATGTGTATTGTAAAAAGACCCAAACAGAGAAGGAGGAGGAGAAGAAGGCCAGTAAGAGGAAGAAGAGGAAAGTCAACAAGAAGGATGAAAATAAAGATAAGAAGAAAGTGTGGGCCACACGCAAAAGGATGGCGGATTTGATTGTGGAGTTGGCAGACTCCGACCACATAGCATGTGTGAAATTACTTGTGGCTTTTATTATTGGATTTGTATTATGCCCTCAGCCCTCTAACTCATGTCCATTATGGGCATTTAGATATGCGGACAATTTACTTGCTCTTCGTTCTTATAATTGGGCTGGTGCTGTGTTTGATCTACTGCATAAGGAGATGAGTAAGGCAAAGTTGTCCATCACAAAGAGAGCCGTAGGAGAGAGGTCACGAGCCGGATACATGGGCAGGTTTGCCTCAGTATTGGTGGTGAGTTTTAATAAAATTATATAATTTTATTTGCATATGTTCTACTAGTTGTAACTAAATTTGTTTGTTTTTTAGGTTTGGTTTTATGAACTAGTGGGGGAGCTCAAGTGTGAAATAAAAGAGGATTTCTGGCACCCCATTTTTATTTAGAGGAAGTCTCAATCATTACGGCGAAAAGCAATGATGAGGATAATTGAAAACCCAAAGTGTATTAGGAATTTCACTAGTCAACCCACCATATCATCCATTCCTAGTACATCACGTCATCAACCGGTATGTACACTTCATATTCTCTATTGTTGTCTTGTTGCTATCAATTTATTATATCTTTCTCGAATGCTAACCCATTCATTGGTTGTATTTGTAGGCGATGACATTACTTCAAGTACGTGAGTTGCTTGCCAAAAATAGAGAGGAGTATGACGAGCTTATTGAGTTAGAGAAAAAGTTGATTAGCGGCGGTAATTGTGGCAATGAATTTGAAGATGAAACTGAAGGGGAAGAACAAGAACGAGATGATGGGGAGGACGAGGAGGATGGTGATGATCCAAGTGATGGGGAGGATGGTGATGATCCAAATGATGAGGAGGATGATGATGACAGTGATCCTAATGTCGGGGGGAATGTTGTTGAGGATGATGAGGATAATACAGGGGAACAAGGTGAACAAAGTCATGAAGAGATGAGTAAAGATGAAGAAAGGAGTGGGAAAAAAGTGGTGGCTCTAAATACAAGAGGAAGGAAAAACAACCAGAGATGATTGCGGAAGAGCTCATTGAAAAAAAGTGGTGGCTCTAAATACAAGAGGAAGGAAAAACAACCAGAGATGATTGCGGAAGAGCTCATTGAAGATGATGACTTCTTACCTATATCTTTTTCAAGGACATCAGCAAGGGACATCAAAGATAGGACCCCCATCAATTAAACGGGTCGTTAGAGATAGGAAACATGTATCCGCACGTGCAAGACGTTCACCTTATACACAGTTGCGAGGCCGAGGCCGTCATGAGAAGAAGAAGGAGATAATTAATGTTTCCCAGTTGCAAACGCCGGGGTGTGATGAAAAGAATGAAGTGATTAATGTTTCCCAGTTGCAAACGCCGGAGAAGAGAAGGAATGTCAATAGTGGGACTGATTTTATCCCTAAGAAATGCGATTACCCGGCGAAGGGAAAGTTAAATGAAAGTGAGAGGAAAGTCCTTGATGAGTTTTGCAAGAAGAGAATGAACAGGTATAATTTATCCCACACATGCGATTTTGCTTTATAAATTTCGTTTTATGTTGCGCTTCCTTTCATATTACATTTATTTAACTTGTGTATGTTTCATTTGTCATAGAGATGAATTTGTTTGGCAATCTGTTACCCGGTTAGATGTATATCATCTTCTTATTGGAAGCGCAATTTCCGATAGTGTAAGTTCCCAAGTTCCCAATGTTTAATAGTTTTGTGTGTATTTTCATATTTTAGTTGTGATCATTCTATTATGAATAATTTTCAGTTAGTCGATGGTATGATAGAGAGATTTAAGATGAAGAATGAAACGGACGCATGTTCTAAACACGTACACATCACAGGATCATTCTTTGCCGTGAGTATTAGGAAAATTTACTATCATTTAAATTATTTTTTGTTAAATATTATGGTCATGTTTTAACAGAGAGCGTTACTACAAGATAATCCCGGCCATTGGGCAAGACAACTCAAGGGTCGACAGCTTCCACGTGCACGCTTCGAAGAATGCGAGAAGATTATTTTTCCTATTCTTAGCAGTAGTCATTGGCATTTGTTGGAATTGATTAAGGCTGAGAAAATTTTTTATCACTATTCATCACTCACATACATTAAATATCTTAATGATGCCAAGATGTTCATGAACAATTTCTTAGCTTGCATAAAGGATGAATGGAAAATAGAAAATATGGATGAGTATAGTATAGAAACCCGACAGGTTCCTCAACAGTTGCTATCAATTTATTATATCTTTCTCGAATGCTAACCCATTCATTGGTTGTATTTGTAGGCGATGACATTACTTCAAGTACGTGAGTTGCTTGCCAAAAATAGAGAGGAGTATGACGAGCTTATTGAGTTAGAGAAAAAGTTGATTAGCGGCGGTAATTGTGGCAATGAATCTGAAGATGAAACTGAAGGGGAAGAACAAGAACAAGATGATGGGGAGGACGAGGAGGATGGTGATGATCCAAGTGATGGGGAGGATGGTGATGATCCAAATGATGAGGAGGATAGTGGTGATACAAATGATGAGGAGGATGATGATGACAGTGATACTAATGTCGGGGGGAATGTTGTTGAGGATGATGAGGGTAACGCAGGGGAACAAGGAGAACAAAGTCATGAAGAGATGGGTAAAGATGAAGAAAGGAGTGGGAAAAAAAGTGGTGGCTCTAAATACAAGAGGAAGGAAAAACAACCAGAGATGATTGCGGAAGAGCTCATTGAAGATGATGACTTCTTACCTATATCTTTTTCAAGGACATCAGCAAGGGACATCAAAGATAGGACCCCATCAATTAAACGGGTCGTTAGAGATAGGAAACATGTACCCGCACGTGCAAGACGTTCACCTTATACACAGTTGCGAGGCCGAGGCCGTCATGAGAAGAAGAATGAGATAATTAATGTTTCTCAATTGCAAACGCCAACGTGTGATGAAAAGAATGAAGTGATTGATGTTTCCCTAAGAACTGTGATTACCCTAAGAACTGAAGTATTAGGAATGTCAGTAGCGAGACTGGTTTTGTCAGTAGCGAGACTGGTTTTGTCAGATGCGATTTTGCAAACACCGGAGAAGAGAAGGAATGTCAGTAGCGAGACTGGTTTTGTCCCTAAGAACTGTGATTACCCGGCGAAGGGAAAGTTATGAAAGTGAGAGGAAAGTCCTTGATGAGTTTTGCAAGAAGAGAATGAACAGGTATAATTTATCCCACACATGCGATTTTGCTTTATAAATTTCGTTTTATGTTGCGCTTCCTTTCATATTACATTTATTTAACTTGTGTATGTTTCATTTGTCATAGAGATGAATTTGTTTGGCAATCTGTTACCCGGTTAGATGTATATCATCTTCTTATTGGAAGCGTAATTTCCGATAGTGTAAGTTCCCAAGTTAGCAATGTTTAATAGTTTTGTGTGTATTTTCATATTTTAGTTGTGATCATTCTATTATGAATAATTTTCAGTTAGTCGATGGTATGATAGAGAGATTTAAGATGAAGATTGAAACAGAAGCATGTTCAAAACACATACACATCACAGGATCATTCTTTGCCGTGAGTATTAGGAAAATTTACTATCATTTAAATTATTTTTTGTTAAATATTATGGTCATGTTTTAACAGAGAGCGTTACTACAAGATAATCCCGGCCATTGGGCAAGACAACTCAAGGGTCGACAGCTTCCACGTGCACGCTTCGAAGAATGCGAGAAGATTATTTTTCCTATTCTTAGCAGTAGTCATTGGCATTTGTTGGAATTGATTAAGGCTGAGAAAATTTTTTATCACTATTCATCACTCACATACATTAAATATCTTAATGATGCCAAGATGTTCATGAACAATTTCTTAGCTTGCATAAAGGATGAATGGAAAATAGAAAATGTGGATGAGTATAGTATAGAAACTCGACAAGTTCCTCAACAAGATGGGTATGACTATAACTTAAAATGTATTAATGTGATTGATTTTCCCAACATATTATTATTTTATCATGTAATCATTGATTGCGGCATTTGTTTGTGCAGGAGCTTAGATTGTGGTATTTTCATGATGGGATACATATATTCCATCATCAACAACACACCACCATTCATTCATCAGGATGATTGTGAACTTCTACGAGCAAAGATTGCTATTGCCTTTATCTCGGAGGAAGCAGAAAATCTGCTAGAATATGCTTTTACTCAGGAAGTAGACTCTGAATATACATGTCTTGGATGTTCTGAATGTTGAAGTTGCACAGGAGCATAAAGTACTTGGCTGATTTGGATTTTGTGTTTATTGTGTAGCTTAAATCTGTACAGGAGCATAAAGTACTTGGCTGATTTGGATTTTGTGTTTATTGTGTAGCTTAAATCTATGCAGGAGTATAGGGTGTTGATTTTTGTAATGGTGTATAATTGTGTATTTGTTGTGTATTTGTTGTGAATGTTAAAATCAGGAGTATAGGGTGTTGATTTTATATTCCAGATTTTAAAATCATGTGAATTTGTTGTGTATTTGTTGTGAATGTTGAAGTTGTGAATGTTGAAGTTGTGCCTTATTGGACGAGTGGGATCATTACAGTGGAGATGTCCTCACTTTCACAGGTTCCACCAGTTGTGAATGTTGAAGTTGTGCCTTATGGATAATTGAATGGGTGTTAGTGGTATCTTCTGCTGCTTGGCAACTCTTTGCTCAAAACAAAACTCTGCAGTCCTGGTTGCTATGTTTCATGAGTAGTGTAGTCTGCTATTTTCTCAGTGAACCTCTTGGAGTTGTTAGGACATTCAAGTGAAATTTTACAGAATTAAAGACAATGTTGTTTTACTCTTTTAAGAAAATATATGGATTGTAACTTTTAGCATTTGTAACATGTTAGAATCTCTCCGGCAGTTCTGTATTCACGAGACATGATGATCCCTTTGTTTTGCTTCGTCTTAAAACCCAGACGTGCCTAATCAATACCTCTTCCATAGGCCCAGGAATTACTTTGTATACATTGCCTATGCTTGTCAAAGCAGCCATCTGCATTATCCTGCAGTGGGATGTGGAATTTTATCCTGTTCTGATGTTGTTCTAAAGCCCCCCTTTTGGTTCATAATCAACTAAGTGTGCCCTTTTTTATTTTGTTTTCTTATTTGTGTGTGTGTGTGGGGTGGGGTGGGGTGGGGGGGGGGAGCTAAGGATTAAAAATTCAACAGCAAGTGGGAAAAGAAACTGGCCTGTGACATGTTGGGTTTTAAAAATCTAAGACTAAGAGCTAAATTTCCCCAAAGCCTGTATGAACAATAAGGCACTTTGAATGTTGAAGTTGTGCCTTATTGTTCAATTATCCATAAGGAAGAGACGTACTTGAAATTATAAGTTAAAAAAATTTTATTGACCAATCATCCACAGCGACGGGGGTCCTCGCGCAATTTTGAAGCTTCTGGGCAAAGTAAAGCACCTTATGGGAAAGTATAGCACCTTTTGGCCAAAGTATAGTACTATATTGCAAAGTATAGCACTTTATTAGAATAGTATAGCACCTTTTGGCCAAAGTATAGCACCTTATGCTTGCTGGAAATTCTGCAGCTTAAGAGCCTAAAATCAAATCAGTTTTTTTCGCCGCGACGAAACCACTCGACGACCTACGTCACGTGTTATTGACCAATCATCCACCGCGACGGGGGGTCCTCGCGCAATTTTGAAGCTTCTGGGCAAAGTATAGCACCTTATGGGAAAGTATAACACCTTTTGGCCAAAGTATAGCACTATATTGCAAAATATAGCACTTTATTAGAAAAGTATAGCACCTTTTGGCCAAAGTATAGCACCTTATGCTTGCTGGAAATTCTGCAGCTTAAGAGCCTAAAATCAAATCAGTTTTTTTCACCGTGACGAAACCACTCGACGACCTACGTCACGTGTTATTGACCAATCATCCACAGCGACGGGGGGTCCTCGCGCAATTTTGAAGCTTCTGGGCAAAGTATAGCACCTTATGGGAAAGTATAGCACCTTTTGGTCAAAGTATAGCACTATATTGCAAATTATAGC